GTTAACGCATTTTCAAATAATTAGGAGAAATATTTGATGTGTGATAAAGACTACGATGTCTTTTATTTATTGGTCGTTGGTAATTATCTAATTTAATTTATAGTATAAAAAAATTTAATTAACCCAATGGATATTCTTTGTTGTATTATGTCATTTTATTATGCTATCTTGTCATTAATTTTCTTCATTTTCAGTTTTGTAAATTTTTTTTTTAAGATATTTGTCATGTTCCTTATTTTGGTTTACTGTTTTATGATGCCATTCATTTACTTGCTCATTTTTTTTACAGCATCTCTACATGTAGTTCCATCTTCACACTAAACCATTATTTTATAAATTTTGTTTTGTTTATTAAAGATAATAAATATTTTATTGCTTTTCATGAAATTGCATTGTGTATAATTCAGGATTATGTAGTAACTCTTATTTGTTGCTGTAACACAATAAATTTGCAGTAATTTTTAGATCATGTAAAATATTTATTATTAAAGTTGTTTCTGTCCAGTCTTTTCCATCAAAGGTTTGTTATTTTATAAAACCGACACCCACAGCTTTTGTATGTTCCATCTCCAACTATAACATTTTGTTTGCTTGGCAGTTTTTTGACAGTAAAGCAATCCTAACCAACAAAATGCGTCCAATGATATCTGAAATATGCTCAAAGGAAATATACAATCAATATAAAAATACCCATGGACAAAAAAAGCGGAAAAAGATAAAATCATGGATGACGGATGAGATTCTGGACCTAATGAATAAACGTCGACTTGTTGAAAATCAACAAGACGAATATAAAATACTTATTCGTATAAAAAAAGATATAAGAGAAGCTAAATAAATGGATCCAAGAACAGTGCGACAAAGCTGAAAAGTTAAACAAATAACGGGTGCCTACATGGACGTGCATTAACTCGTCCTCTGAATTAAAATTGCCAATTTGGTTAATCTCCTACTTGAAGATGTGGTATTGCTACGAGTTCTTTTAGTTATAAAAATTAAAATGTGTATATGTGCATACTTTTTTTATATGTACCTACACTTATCAATTCTATGTTGAAAAGTATACAGAAAATAAAAATACTCAACATTATACAAAATGTGTTATTACAAATAATGTACGTTCAACGAGTATTTCAATATTTATGAAAATGTGCTATATATTTTACAAAATCAAATCTTGAAATAGATCCATTTTTATATTCGTCTATTTTTTAACTATACACTACTTAGGTCTTAGTACAGTTGGATCAGGTATTCTTGAATTTTCAAGCCTGTTTGAAATTGATTTAAAACTTAAAAAAAAAACGAAAAATTGGCTGATTTGCCGAGTGGAAATTGGCATTAAATTTACCGTGGAAAGATTCACATGCATTTGTGCTCTTTTCTATACTATTACTGAGTTCAACCCATAAAAAAGACGGAAATACGACATCTTCGGAAATATAATTGTCTACCAAATAGCTAGTAAACAATTGTAGGCGTTCGTTTTCGAGTTGTATTTCCGAAAAATCAAAAGCAACATGATCTTCTACTTCCGATGAATTAAAGAATGGTAAACCAAACATATATCGTAGCCATTTTCTAAATTTCACTGTTTTCGTTTTTGAATTTTGCGGAACCATGCTTGTGCCAAATAAAACACATCCTATTATCAAAGAATATAGACGAATATAGAAGAACATTTTAAAATGGGCGATTTGGTCTTATACTTCAAAACCCTCCTGAACAGGGTGACTGCTGCGACTGCATAAACTCAAAGGCCGTCGGCACAGTATAGTGCTTAAAAAGAATTTTGCCGTCGGCTTAAAACCATCATGAAAGATGTAATTAGGGGAAGTGGGAAAGGAGTATCAACGGAGCTATTTAACGTGTGCATCCACGCTTAATAAAATTTCGATGCTATTGATTTGCAAACTGTTTTGTTGTTTTTGTTTGATTGATTGATCAAACAAAATTCATTCATTTAAACAAATCAAACAAAAACATTGATGTTTTTTACAATAAAATCTTTATATTTAATATATTAAATTGTTAATTTTAAAACTTAAAAGGTATGAAATTTTCAATATTCTAAAAGTATTTATTCTTTTTTATTAGATGAAAATAAAATTTTATAACTTTGAATTAAAAACGATCCAACGTTCCAACACAACGAAAAACCATCACGTAACGTTTTATTATACGGTTTTTCTGTCAAAAAATTTACGAAATGTTCTAAAAGATTTTATAAACATATTCAACCAACAGTATATATGCACCCTAGTCCTAGGCTAGTCTGCAGTGTCTTACATATTTTTTTTGTAGAGGTCATTTTCCTTCTGTATAAAAATTAGATAAATCACCTCAGAACCTGGTGATTTATACGGTATAAAGCGAGTTTATTGCCCATTTGATTTTGTCCCAGTTCATCACTTGTTTTGCCACACGCCAGTTTTCCCTAGAACCATAAGTTATGATATTCATTCCAGTTTGCTGTCATGTGTCTAGTAGTATCAGTTTTGTTTGAGACTCAGGAAAGTGCACCCTGAAAATATCTTTTACAGTCTCTTCACAATGTATTCACCTGACTCATTTTGGAGCACAGGAATACGTATCTAAGGATCTTTTGAGAAAACCTAAAATTGGACAATGCCTACTCCATGATTCTCTTTTTGCCCTTTCTTCATCAAGCTCTTTCTCGGTGTCGCGGGTGAGGTCCATGGGGCGCTTCCTCATATTATTTGGATTACTATATTTTAAGTTTGTTTCCTCCCCAGGCTTTCCCACAGGGTCCCTTCGCTAAACGATGTTTTATGGAACTGCAGAATTTCATGCGAGGTCATTCTGACCTCCGATAGGAGCCTCATCAAGTGCTTACTCCAGGTTGTTAATGTTTAAATTTGCTTGAGCCCGATTTAGTTGAGTATTAGGATGGAGTCTGTGTGCTACCACCATGCTGAATACTTTTTTCACGGTGCTTTATGGCCTAGTCTGCTCGTTAGAACTACTTGGATTCTTAGCAACTCTGTTGCGAGGGGTGATGGTATTCTCCCGAAGTCTCTTTTTATTGTGTGATACAGTGATTGACTTTTAATTAATTTTATTTATAGTTTATGAGAAGAAAGTTTTAATTATATTATTTGTAGATTTGTACATTTGTACAATCACAATATTTTTTCTAAAAAAATTCAGTTATTAAAAGTTAAAACAATTTTATTTTTTTTTAAATATTTTATAAAACGCAAAAATTTAATGCTTATCTACGACCACGCCACATCTACATATGAAAATATCTAAAGTTGCATTTGTTTCCCCACTCTTTCATATTTTAGAAGCAGTAATAGCGCTGACATTACCGCTACCTAGTGGTACATATATGGAACTAAAATCTTGATCAACTTCTGCTTCTTTTTTAGATCATGTGCATAACCTTTAATACTTCTAGATACTTCTATAGAGTCTATATTCTTTGCTACTAATTTGGAATTTGGGAAAACAGTTCTGGTGCATTGTGAACGTTATTTCAAAGCCTGCAACAATAATTTCTGGATTCAGATTTAATTCCAAATTTAAACATTTAATTTTCAAAAGTTTAAAAGATTTTTGTAAAATTTCTTTCTCGGATTTGGTAGTATTTTGTTTAGCAGTGGAAATGTAATACCCATTACCCAAAAGCAAGTGGAATGTAATACCAATTTTCCAATATATGCAGTGTGAACAACTGCAAGAAATGGCCTGGATAGTAGCTGAATGTATCATCGATATATAATTTGCAACTTTTGCAAAGAAAAGTAACATGAAGACTGTTAAAATACTTAACTGGGCAAGATTTTTTCTTAAAACAAAATGTATTACTTTGCAGGGCTTCTCACAAATGTCATCGGTTGCTTTACGTTTAACACCAACACTCACTACCTTCCTATTTACTTTTGTCAAATTTTTTTCATATCTATGTTCTAGTTTACTACGCATAACTAAGGTTTCGGCATCCACAGTATAAATTTTAGCTTTACAGAAGCGAATCGCACATCTCCAACAAATTTCACTACTTTTTAACTCTATCATCATCATCCAGCCTCAAGAGTCCACTGCTGAACATAGGCCTCAGTTGTTATCAACAGGTCCTCGAAGACACTTTCGTCTCAGGACCATTTTACCTATGTAGGGTCATACGTCGCCATGTTACCAATTCCAACGGTAACTTAAACATCATAATTTGTAACCACATATAATGTAAAGCAACTGTAAATTTATATCATTTAAAGGGTTTTGACCCATATATTTTGGCATTTATACCTCGTTTACACTGATGATGGATTTAACAATCCGAAAACGTTTTGTAATATATTTGCGATAGCCCGTTTGGGCATTTTATTATATACCTTTTATAAAGGATTTGAAATAAATTTATAGGCCTCTGCCTTATGTTTTCAACCCCGTCTACCTTGCCCCGTTCTTATCCAGTTTTTATTGAGTCATCTTAAATCGTCAGTCCATCTTGTAGGTGGTCGACCGACGCTTTTCTTGTCTTCCCTTTGCCACCATTTTAACTCTATATGTCTTATAAATTCGACTATGAGATTCTACTATTAATACAGGTTTTAAACGTTCACTAAAACTTTTAGAACATTCCATAATGTTGTGTTTGCAAGTAATTATTACAAAATGAAAGTGAAAATAAATTTAAACTTTCTTAAACTCAAGTTGGTTTTCCCAGAAATTATAATTGTCATACACAGTTGAGTGGTGTCATTAAAGTACCGTAATTAGCATCGGTAGAAATTAAGGGTAGTATTATCTTCTATAATACTTATAGAAGACTACCTATAGAATACTTATAGTACCTGCTCGGGGACGAACGAATTGAGGGCCGACCGAAAGTTTAGCACTATTGTTAAGTCAATTATCTGGGTAGTTAATAGGTAACAATACAAGATATTCTTTTATTGTAAAATCATTGTTATTTTTAGGGAAAAACATTGGACAGATCCGAACTTAATTCTCTAAAACCTACACCTAAAATGAGACCTAAAGCCAGTACTAGACCTAGGCCAAAAACAATACATATTGATAGTGGTTCTGTTCAGATTGCCGAAGGAATGTCCAGTAGAGGTAAAAAAGGATCATCTTCGAATCTTACAGGTAAATTTAAATTATAAATTTAGTTATACTTTACTACATGGTAGTTCAATGCTTATTATTTGCAATTACTAAATTCATTCACAATAATGCATGTAGAATATTTTTATACAGCTAATGCAGCTTTTTATCAATAATAATTTTCTATTTGAAGAACCAACAAAGTTTGAGCTACAAAAATTGATACCTATATATGTACCATATGCTTAGAACAAAACATATTTACATTCAGTTGAAAGTTAAGACCATTACTCTAGAGTACATAGGATCGTGGACCAGTACGTATGAGTAAATATTTCACGCAAGCCTAAATTCACACAGACACAACTACGTTCAAAATATGATACACAAACGAACGCACATGGATATACATGTATAAATACATACACAGCCGACATTCAAACACATTTAAGTTTAAATGCGTACACATGAAATTCAACTTAACTCTGAAAGAACCCCGGCACTTTTCTTATGAAAAAGTGGTTTCATTTCAATGGCAGCTAATCTGGAAAGCTCAACGTAGACGGCGCTATTGTAGTTGGAGGTCACGTCAACTTACAAAATCTATATATTTTTAAGTAAATATTGCATTTATTTCACTGTGTAGATTTAATTTGGGATAATAAGATGCCTCAGTGTTGTGCTGTTCATTTGTGCTCATCGAGAATATCAGAACACAGGTTTCTCAAAGATAATCTGATGAGAAAAAAGTGGATTATGGGAATAAGAAGAGATAAATATGTGCGACAGAAATGAATTTACTCGTATCTACAATACACTAAATATTATATATATAAAGGATAATAGTTGTATACTTTATGTTAGCAAATTTTGGATCAACTTAATAGATAAAAATTAATAAAATTAACATAAATACTATTTATTTGTCTTTTATTTTGTTATACAGATTAAGATTATCTACTTCGGTAAGAAATAGTATTCTTCAGCCAATACTATAACCATATAGTACTCAAAAAACTCTTTGGGTTGAGGGATTATTTCATTATGAATTAAATCATTTTTGCTACCTATAGAAATACATCTCATATCTTTTTTTATCCAAGTGAAAAAATCACAGAACTCACGACCAGTAACAAACATTTGAGTTTGCAATTGATTATAATAATTTGAATTTAATTTCAAACGTAATTCATCTTTCATTTCTAAATATGCAAACTATCAGAACTAATAATTGAATCTTTTATTGAATAGGGGTAGTTAACACAGTTAGTTATTCCACAAGTCCATCAGGAAAAGCAGCTAAATAAGGATGGTTCAATGAAATAAAAAGTCCACAGCTAATGAAATGGTTAATAGTTGCCTCGAAAGAACTATAAAATTTATTTGTTCGGCTTTCTTGGGCGATAGTTCCAGTCTGCTATTTTTTTGGTTTATGACAAACTTGTTTTCAGTTAGCGCAGGTATCTTTTATGTATCATTTGTGTATCAAAGCATCGCAACAGCAACATGTTTTTACACTGCTCGGTATCACTTGCCAACAATACATTAACATAATGCTTCAGTAATACTTTCATCCACGGAGAGCACCAGTTTTACATTGTATGTAAGTACTTTGGCCATTTCACTGTTTTTCGGTGGACTGCTACACACATGCTCATTCCTTCTGCTAACTTATAAATATGTAGAAAATAGCTATATGTCGACGAAATCTATTAGAGGAATTTCTAAAGAGACGTGAAATCCACATTAGTGACCATACAATGTCATGTCGAAAATTGTTATTTCGATCATATGCAGCCTAACCTATAATATAATATAGAATACCTAATCAGTTTCTGGACAGTCAAAACAATGAGCTTCTGGCAGCGACACAATATCTTTCATACATACATCAAAAGTGATGACTTATAATGCGTTTTGTTTTAAGGCAGCACAAAACTGTATTCAATTGATGGTAGGTATCTAAAATTACCATTTTTATTTACGTGACTGTATTAGTTCAAATCAAAATACAAATACGTCACTATAATACTCAGACCAATATAAAAAATTCTATTATGGTCTGAGATGAACCAATAAAACATTAAGACGATGATTTATATAGTTTACTTTTCGATAATGTCTTCCTTTTTTTCTAGTAATTCTCGCATTTCTTCTCAATTCTTTTATAAAGTCGCAAATATACCAAGATCCTTATTTTTCTGTCATAATTTATTAAATCGTAATAATTAAAACAAAAATTTCGTACAAACCCAAACAATTAATTACTATTAAACTGGGAATAAGCCACAATTAAAGATAAAAATACGTTTATTGACGTTTCAATTTCCACTTCGGAAATCGTTCTCAAAATACAAACAGTAAATTAAACAAATTTTGTTTTTTTGTTACATAGTGAAAAATTCTTCTAATAATTTAATTTTATCTGACTCATTTATATTGACAATTCAGACATACATTATGCATTTTAAAGTAGACGACTTTAAAATGATATTGCCAATATTGTTGAGTTGCGCTCCTGGGACGACTTTACTTATAAGATAGTTCATTCGATTACATGAAATCAACTTTAACTTGAGAATATCCGTCACAAAAAAAATCATAGTATGTAATTCGTCTTTAAAAAGACAAACACATGACATGATGACAGTAAAATTCTCCTGTTAGTGATTCCATAGTAAATTATGAGGGAAAACCAGGAAAAAAACCTCATAATACTATCCCGACATTGTAAGTATTTGTTCGTGAATTTAGTTTACCTTCAACAAACATCAAAATTCTGATTTTATATGTTACGTTATTTAAAAAACATAAATGATGTATCCTCTATATGTTACTGACTTACTAATACTGGTATTTACTTATTAATAACTTCCTCTTTCAATATTGGTAACCAGATCCTACTACATTCTGCCGAGGAATTTGCGACACAATTGGCCTCATTTAGCATAATTAGAGCCGCTTCTTTGATTTTTCTTTTTTTACTATCCGTTTCTTTTAGGACTACATTTGAATTATTCCATTGAACCCTATGCTCATTATCCCATGCGTGTTTACAGATTTGAGATCTATCAAATTCTTTATTTTTAATATAAGATTGATGTTCACTTATTCTAACATTTAATGGCCTTGATGATTCACCTAAATAAAATATTGTTTAAACAATTTATTAATTTACAATCAAATAGTGCACTAGAACTTTTTAAGACCTTTCATATAAAAAAAGAATCATCTCAATATCTGCTATAGTTTTTGCGTTATTTGATATAAACTTTTACATTGGAATTTAGTTATGCCCAGAATCGCGAGGAATGGCCTTAAGAGACAAAACTATATGTGAATCCATCGATAGATCAATTACTATTAAACTGGGAATAAGCCACAATTAAAGATAAAAATACGTTTATTGACGTTTCAATTTCCACTTCGGAAATCGTTCTCAAAATACTATTTTGAGAACGATTTCCGAAGTGGAAATTGAAACGTCAATAAACGTATTTTTATCTTTAATTGTGGCTTATTCCCAGTTTAATAGTAATTAATTTACAATGCCACAAGAAAATAGCTTCAGAACAATAACCCAAACAATTGTCAAAATGTGTTGACCTTTAACTACACTAGCGTCGCAAAGCGCGAGCAACGGCGTACATAGCTGCCATTGGCTAAAACTTTGCAGAGAGGTACCTTCTGGTCATGCTGATCAAAAGTTATTTTTGCCTAAAAGACTCAGAAATCAATTGTTTCTGAGTTACAGAGGTTCAAAGTTCAGGTTTGTCCTTGTGAATAATAGATATTTGTAAAATATACAGAGTTATGGTAAATACGTGAAACTTATTCCAGGAAGTGATTCTGCATAAAAAATAACGACAGTTTGCTATATAAACGTTTGCCCGTAAATGCCTCCTATTCCGAGATGGTGTTTAAAATTTTTCTTACGCACTAACGTCATTTTTTGCAGCTTTGCGCCTATTTAAAATTGTATTAGTGGTACTTTCTGTAATTATTGTTCTGATTTAATGTTGTCTTACATCGTTCTTGAAAATATATTAAAGTCATGAAAGATCTTTTATTCTTTGCATAAAAACGAAGCCTCATATGAGAAAATAAGAAAAAAAGGTTTTTTTATCACAAATTAAACGAGGAATTCAAAATCTTTAAAAAAATTGAGACCATTACCGGTATGCGCGCCAATGATGAATGATATATATATATATATATATATATATATATATATATATATATAATATATATATATATATATATATATATATATATATATGTATATATATATATATATATATATAAATCGTTAGTTTCCATACCATTCAAATCTGGCGACTGGGCTGGTGTTTTAATGACATTTCGGCAATTATATAGCAACTATATAAGTACGAATATAATAATATATATATATATATATATATATATATATATATACAGTATGGTGGAAATGAAAGGAATAAATTCGTTATTTCGTAAACCGGAGACTTTCAGGAAAAATCCTGAAACCCGTCGATTTTTATTTTTAAATAAGCTATTCGTAAGAATACATTTTTATTTTTGACGTCATCTATGTGAGCGTGATGACGTCATTGCTAAAATTTTTAAATAGAAAGGGGGGTATTGTAATACATCATTTGAAAGGTCTTTTAAATACCTATTCAGCCATATCAATAAGTCTGAGTATTTGATGTTTGTAATTGTTTAAAAAAATTATTAAATATTTATTATTACAATAAATATTTATTAAGTATTGATATGATGTATTATTGACACCCAAAAATAAATTTTATAAAGGCCATCACTGGTAATGAAATGTCTTTTTTATCTACTTTTTACCTTTTAAAAAAAACTAGTTACCTTATCAATATGAACATTGGACATTCAAACTTAATTATCTTTCTGTCAAGTGATTAATAGTATTATTGTAGTAAACGTATTCAAAAAGTCTTTGTATCTTTGAACATGAAGCTAACTGAAACGCAAAGAATTGAAATTCTCATAATGATTGGTTATGGAGATAAAACACGTACGCAGAAAGAAGTATGTGCGTTATTTAATAATAAATACCCCCGTCGAGAACCAATTTCACAATCCACTGTAAGCAAAATTGAGAAAAAAATTAGAGAAACGGGTCATGTTAAAGACCTTCCTAAAGGTAGTAGAAAACCAATATCTGAAAACCAACAAGTAGACGTTCTGTTAGCTTTTCAAGATAATCCTCATAACAGTTCACGGCAAGTAGCATTAGATAATGACATGGACCATTCAACAGTTCTTAAACAGCTAAAGAAGGAAAAGTGGCATCCCTACAAAGTAAGTTTAGTACAAGAACTTATGGAAGATGATTTTGATAGACGAATTGAATTTTGTGACATTATAATGGAACGAAATAACAGAGATCCGATGTTTTTAAAAAAGATTATTTTCTCTGATGAAGCTACATTTCTACTAAACGGTCATGTCAATCGTCAAACTTATCGGTACTGGGCTACGGAAAATCCACACTGGATGCAAGAGTACCGTACTCAATACCCAGAGAAAATTAATGTTTGGGTGGGAATAATAGATAATAGGTGTATTGGACCATACTTTTTCGAAGAAAACTTAACAGGTCCTCGATATTTAGAATTTCTTCAAAATTTCTTGCTTCCAGAATTGAACCGGTTGTTTCCAAACAGAAATGATTTATGGCTACAGCAAGATGGTGCGCCTCTACACTATGCTGTCTTGGTACGCAACTACTTAAACAACGTCTTTCCAAATCGGTGGATAGGTCGAAGAGGAACAATAGAATGGCCGCCTAGGTCACCTGATTTGACTCCTCTTGATTTCTTTTTATGGGGATATTTAAAAAGTAAGGTGTATCAAAATAGACCACAAAATATTAATGAACTGAAAGAAAGAATACGTAATGAGGTTGTTCAAATAACTCCGGAAGTTTTAGAGAATGTTAGAGGAGTTCGCGGCACGCCTTTCTCATTGTATTTTAGCTGAAGGTAAACAATTTGAGCAATTAATTTAGGTTTCGTTGTATTTATTGAATAATACTTAATAAATATTTATTGTAATAATAAAAATTTAATTATTTTTTTAAACAATTACAAACTTTAATTACTTAGACATATTGATATAGCTGAATAGGTATTTAAAAGACCTTTCAAATGATGTATTACAATACCCCCCTTTCTATTCAAAAATTTTAGCAATGACGTCATCACGCTCACATAGATGACGTCAAAAATAAAAATGTATTCTTAGGAATAGCTTATTTAAAAATAAAAATCGACGGGTTTCAGGATTTTTCCTTAAAGTCTCCGGTTTACGAAATAACGAATTTATTCCTTTCATTTCCACCATACTGTATATATATATATATATATATATATATATATATATATATATATATATATATATAATATATATATATATATATACTATAGCAATTATATAAGTACGAACCTGATATGACGTGTGTTTTGGATCGTTGTCTTGATAAAACCGGTAATTGTTATTGATACCTAATTTTTGAGCACTAGTGGCAAGATGCGACCTTAGTATATCCAAATACATATACTGGTTCATATTTCCTTATATAAAATGCGTATTACCTACTCCTGCGAACGATATACACCACCACATCATGCCCCACTTTTACCGTTAGTTACCGTTAGGTATTCCCAGCAAATATTACTGAATTCTAAAAGGTCAACTTTTTGTTAATATGCTTCCTGGCGAACTACAATCTAATACGCCTGTTTCTTTGGCTAATTAAAGGTTTATTTCTAGCAGATCGAACATGTAGATTATTCTTTTGTAATATCCGTCTAATTGTTTCGGTGTTACATCTTTTTCCAAACTGTCTTTCCACCTCATTTCACAGCTTTGGTGCCCTTTTTTATGGATTATTTGCTATTTCTCTGACGATCCATCGTTCTTCACGTTCGGTAAAAATCTCATTTGGAGCTAACCTTGAATTATTGTTAACTCTACTTTCATTTTGGTAACGTTTAACAATGTTCTGAACTGTTGAAGAACAATTTCCAACCCAAAATGTTTACTTTTAATAGTCCATTAAAGTTTTTTTTTATTTTACTGGAATTTTCTCAATAATTATAATTGCATAACATGTCTCTGGTACACAAACTGACGTTTTGTCAAATTTGACAAAAATTAGGATTGAAGAAATTGGCTTTAAAAATGACAAATCTTGAAAATTATTCGACTGAAGAGGTTATTATAAACAACATTTTTGTTCCATTTATTTGTTTTTATATTATTTGCTTGTAAGTTGCATGTTTTTATTTTTCTATTTTTTTATTATTTAGCATACAGTTCCTCGACCATGAAACGAGATTATTACAGAGGCTCCCAAGACAGTTTAGCTGATAGAAGCATTAGCAGTGGCATGTTGTACAAAGGTGTGTTTTTGATTTATTTATTATTATTTTAGATCTCCGAAAATTTATGTTTTGGGAACCCTTTAATGCTTTTGTGTTTCAGTTTATCGTACATAGTAGTAATGATTGAACAATAAAACTTTTGGTTTAATTTTGTGCTAAATTTATTGAACTTTGTTTTATTTAGACTAAAAATTTGTTTAGTGATATATTCGTGTGTAGCTATCTTTGATTTATATTTATTTACGAAGATTCTAAAAGTTACTAGGTGTCATTATTGAAGGTAAAAGTTTTAGTGGATTTTAGCGAATATAGATATAAGACTAAAGACGTTCATAGACATAAAATGTCAAACTTGTTCACAAAAAATGCTGATTCTGTGAAATGTAAATAGTAGCATTCTGTTTTATTTTATTTTATTTGTGTGGTAGTTTAGGACATAGATTTTTCATTATTATTGCACATTTTATTACACTTTATTCTACACCTTACACTATATCTTAAGTATTCACGATTCTTTCCGCTTTGACCTGTTGGTTGGTACGAACTAGTTCTCCTGCAGACAGTGTTAAGGCAAGTTATATTATAAAACCTTTGATCTAGATTAAATTGATACTACTACAATCAAATCAAAGGTTAGTTTGTGATGGTTGGATATATATATATATATATATATATATAATATATATATATTATATATATATATATATATATATATATATATATATTTAAATTGCCCTTAACACAAATCATTTTCTTTTTCTTTGTAAATAGAATATGTCACTTATAATATAAGTGGCACGTTGTATATACAGATATAAAGTTAGGTAATACGGAAATGGATTTCACATACAAACTACGTTTGTAAGTTTTTATTTCGAGTTAATTTGATCCGAGGATCCTTTATCTGAGATAAATGATTCTTTATCTCCTTTGATTAGTATCATTTGCTAAGTTAATTGATGTTATCATCAAATGTTCTTTTCTACAGAAGAATGAAGTCGTCACAAAAAAATCCCTTTACATTTGTTACTAAAAAGAACCGAAATTGAATATTATTTTCGAAATTTCTTTGATTAATACCGCATACGCATATTTTATATTCTTCTACGTTAGGACTTACATCTAGGGTTAAAGTCGAAGTTAAACTGAAGTCGAATTGAACTAAATGAAGTGGAAGAAAAGAGGACAATCATGAGTATCAAAAAAACAAGAAAGATTAAACATGAAATAATCTATATAAACCATTATATGAACAAGAAAAAGACGAACATGCATAGGGAGATAAACAAAAGGGCCTACGAGGAAAAACAAAAAGAGAAAGAAGTAAACAACCACCTTAGTAGAGAAGAGAAAAGGTGGGCATGGAATAAAAAAAGGGAAGTTAAATTCAGAAAGGGAACCAAAAACTGATAGAAGGGTCAGGAAGCGACAACAGAAATATTGATCAGGCAAAATAAAGGATATATTAAAGAAAATAAAAACAAACAAGAATAGCAACTTGGAATGTAGAACGATGCCAAAGACAGGAACAATGGAAAAAACTGCAAGAAAAATAACAAATCCAGATAGCAGCTGTACATGAGGTGAGATGGAGAAACAACACGGAGATAAACAAAGGAAAGTACACATTTTTGTACAGTGTCAACAATCAAGGTGAGAAAGAGGAATAAGCTTCTATGTCTGTATTTGTTATGAAGTAGTACACAATAAAAAAAAATTAAATAATAATCATGGGAATATCACAAAAGAGTAGTAGAAAATGGAAAATCCATAAACCAAAACAAAATATGAGAGCTGGATAATAAGTGAGTCAACAAAAATAATGAACTTAGGAAAAAAGATAACTACTAGAAAACCAAATAGATCACATATTAGCTTTAAAGAAAATATAAACAACATGATATACACAAGAACGTAAAGAGAAATGAATGCAGGCATGGACCACTATTTGGCGATAGCAACAATGACAAGAGCAAGATCATACGATATAAGGAAAAATAAACGAATGCAGAATCTAGAAGTCCTAAATAATCGAGAGGTTAAAAAGAAATAAAAACAATGAAGATACAAAAATACATAGAAGATACAAAAATGAAAAAGACAAAAAATGACCAAGCGCCAGGAGAAGACAATGTTGTATACGAACTAGAAAAATATGGAGAAAAAAAAATAAATGAACAAGTAAACTAATCGATAAAACAAATATGGGTACAAAACATAATACCTAAATAATGGAACATCGATCTACAAGAAAAGCAAACAAATAATTATCTAAAAACTATAGACCAATAACGCTTTTAAATTGTATATATAAAATATTGGCAAATATAATAAATAAGAAAATCAAAAACTGTGCAAAAAATATAAGAATATCCCCAAAATGGATTTAGACCAGGTAGATCGACGATAAATGCTATACAAATTTTGGAACGGAACACATTCCAAAAAAATCTTGGAAATATAACAGAGAAATCGTAGTAGTATTTATGGACTTAAAAAGGGCCATCGACGCGATAAAGAAAGACAAAATGATGAAAGCATTTAAAGGACTTATAGATACCAAGGAAACATGACAGGCATAGGAACTGGAAGGAACAACTTCAAGCGTAAAGTTTGACGAAAACTGACAGAAAAATTTAACGTAGACCAAGGAATAAAGCTTTTGCAGATGATTTAGTCGTCAGAGACAAAAAAAAAACTTAATGTGACCAAGACCATTAACGAGCTTGAGACCGAGGTTCAAGAAATATTGTTTAAAAAATATAAAAATGGAAACAAGGGAACTAAGAGTAAAAGGTACCTGAAGATCTACTGAAATTGTTCTAAAGATACTTTCTTGTGGAATTTCAATATTATTTTATATTTTTATTGTGATTTAACCACAATTTCAGTTTAAAATACGTTTATTTTAACGTTTCGATTTTTTTTAAACTGACATTTTGATTAATTTTCAATAAAGATAGTAAAAATGTCAAAATTTGAAGAAATAACGATATGCTTAGGAGAGACCATGGTAAGAAAAAAATCAAGATGGAATTGTAATGGAAACTGAGCATTTGGAAGAAACAGAATGATGCTTAAAAACAGAAAATTTAGCAAAAAGACAAAAATTAAGATATACAAAACACTGATACAGCTATTACATACCCGATGGAAACATCAGTGATAAATAAATAGAATAAAACTTTAAAAAAATAATAATAAAAAAGAGTTAGGAAACGAAAATGTAGTGAGAGTTATTAAATCACAACGCTTGAAATGGGTATGACACATCGTCGGAAGACCGGCAAACGAGATGATCAAAAAAAGTTACGACATAGAAATAACATATAGGTGGAGAATAATGTCAAGAGAAATGCAGAACCAGGAAGGAATGGAGACAGACAACAAAATTCGCCCAGGCACACAATAAAGTGTAATCAAAACAGAGAGGAGGATGACTATTCTATCTCAGATTAGAATAGGCGAGAGCGTAGGCCATAATCCAAAAGAAATTGAACAGCGATCATGATGATTATGCCAACAATAGTAACCTTTCGAGATTATCCCCTTGCTATTTCTTTCATTACTTTTTTCATATTTAAACGCTCCTATCACTGAGTTTATCGTTATTGGATTGGTAAGATTTCGGTACATAAACCGACATGTTGAAAAGTTTTAAAAATTTATTCCACAGTTATTTTGTCTTCAAATCTGAGCGTACAAACGCTCACTTAATCCCAACGCTGCTTTGCTTTTTATATTTTCAGGACATTTCTTCGCAATTGATTATGTTATTTGTCTAGTGCTGGGTTGGAAGTTCAGTTTTTTTGTGTTTACGTATTTCAGATTCTCCAGATGATAGTAGGGGTGTCTCACCATGTCATAGTGCTAATCAGACTCTAGGAAGAAGAAGTTCCTATAAGACTAGTCGAGGTAAGTACTAATTGGTGCAATTTATTTGCAAAGATGCTTCGTGTTGTATATGTTAATTGAAAGTAGACTTTTGTTATAAATAGCACGCTACTCTTAAAGAACAATATATTATTTTTCTCCTATTATCTTACTGAAACATATATATATATATATATATATATATATATATATATATATATATATATATATATATATATAATTTTGTGCATCTGTTGATTCTATGTTGCTGGTCTCACGTTTTATTTTTTCCAAAATTTAGTGTTTGAAAGGCAGGGTAGACGAGCTAATCAGCTACAAAACAGATTTTGAATTGCACAGAGCAATTTTATACTACTAAGACCATACTCTTGAATAATTTACCTTAATAATGTGTGTACAACCAAGTGCAAATTATTTTACCATGAATGTCGTTCAAATAATTATCTATTTATATCATATCACATCTGAGTTAACTATCCGCCCTGAATACGCAATTTGTATTAACCGAACCCTCCGTACATGGTTTAATTAATAGATTAAAGGTGTCAAACTAGCCCTTTTATCACATTATTGTCTATATATTCTAAAATGCACATAAAAGCTTAACTTTCTTAATTAGAATTCATAAATATTTCTAAATTTTGTATAATATGGAGTTCCCTTAAATAAAATGCAGTATAGTTGTTTGTGCCACTTCCTAGGTTTATCCATCTAGGATTCATAAAACAATTTAACAGTTTTCAAACTTTTCGGCGATTTCCCATTTTTAATTAACATTTATTATTTTATAATTAATACATTATATTTACATTGCATGTTATACTATTGAGAAATAAAACCAAGATGATATAAAAGGCAGGCAAAATAATATTCCTTAAAACATATAGACCAATGATGTCTGTGTATATAACTTAGACACTTTGATTGGTCCTAGGTCAGCGGCTATATTACTATATTGTCTTAATAAACTGCAGGGCCAGGTTCGTTTCCTGGTACTGACACCATGAACTTTTTAAATTTTTTAAGTTTTGCTGACAATTTCATTTCAAAAATTAAATTTTTCTGCTCTTGTTTGAAATTTACAGATTATAATAATTTGAGAATAATAATATTAAAATTATCTCAGAAATTATAGTCCTCTATATTTTTATTTTCAATTTTCAATCACAATTATTGTTGTAGCATAATTGTTAATAATAAAATTTAAAAACCAGCTTGGAGTTTGCTCTTAATAAGTAAAGAATGGAAATATAATTAATAATAGTATAACATTGATAGTTTAGAATTGGATAACCGGTTAATGTTTGGTATTTCTAAACAACAAATACTTAGTATGGCATCCTAAAAAATATCAAAAATGCTTAGTAATGCATCAAAATCTCTTTTGTATAATAAAATGAGGAATGGTTATGTAGTCAGAACAATAATTTGCGAGTAGTGTATGTATGTTAACGATATTTTTACAGACCCCTCTCCTGCTCAGATACGCGGCAGACCTAAGTATTCGGCTTATCAAAACTTTAAAGGGCGCAAGTCTAGCTCTATGATGAATTTGTACGGTAAGAAACGACCTTTTCCTCCGCCTGGTTGTAGGTATTTCTCTACTTTCATATTGCTAGATGTCTTGAGCTGTGGGGCATGATGGTCAAATATATTTTTCATATAGTACCTTTTTTTGGTTATTTGGTTATTCCCGCTCTGTTTGCTTTACATAAATACAAAGGTGACAACAATATACCGAATAAAAATGTTTTATGATATCTTAGTTTTCATTAAATTATAAGTTTAATAATAATTTACTCATTAGAAGGTTATATTAAACGAAAATCGTAATAAAACGTTTGCGAATACTGATATTAAAACAGAGAAGAAGTAAAGAGAACACGAAGTAATAAATTATACCCTATAATAAAATGTAAAGATTATAATTATCAGTTATATCAATTAATAAAATTATACGCAGTTGCCACAATCGTCTTTGATGTCTGCCGCAGTTGCAGACCAAACTTCAGAAAGAAATAATTTAAGATTCTACACTATAAAATTCCGAAACAATGTACTATTACAAGACAACGGTGCTGAAAGTCTATACACTTTGATTAATCACTATGACCACATTTTTAAGTTATGCTGCATCTAAAGTATTGCTTGTTCATATATTGTGAGGTGCTTATGTAAATTCTGTATTTATGTTCAAATCACCTTGTGCTATTATATGCGTGTGTTAAAACGTCATATCTGTTTGCCCTACATAATGTTTGGTGACTTCACAAGTTCACTTGTTTGTTTTGTGAACATTTCTTTGAACCGTTTTTTGTTTTTGTTTATTTGTCTGTCCGAATTGTGGTTCTTAAGAAAAACCGATATGTTTGAATAAAATATTTTATGTCTGAGATATTTTTATTATCCCAGTATGTGTAGCTGTTACGTTGCTTCTTATTTTTTATGTAAATAGTTAAGTATTGATATGGAAATTCTGCTATAAAACTTTTTTTTGTATTTTATGGCGAGTTGTTCTATGAGTTATGAGGTACTATCTGTATGTGATGCTTATTGTATTAATTTTGTATTATTAATTAATTTTTGTGATTAAAAAGTCCGGAGCTGGTAGTAGGCTCTAAATACTGTAAAATAATTGGGGGTATTCAAAAACCCCATATCATAACTTTTCAGATAATAATTATGTCAAAATTATCTAAAACATCCAATTAAAACTCCCAAAGAATCACTATGTATAATATACGATTAAATCAAAATCTGCCAAATACTTTACTGTCAAAACAAGCTAACTGCACTTTTTATCGATTTCGAGTTACTTACTCCTTTGAATTTTCAAATTCTCGAAGAATGTAGAGCTAAATTCATCTCGAAGAATGTAGAAAAAAGGGGAAGTCTGGAAATCGGTACATGTCTATTAAGGTATTTCGATAAACTCTCGGACGCTGTTTCTGAACTCTCTCTTTTCTCTGACAACTACAGCCGATAGAACAACCGCAACTGACAGTATTTAGTACAAACTTATCTGTGATAAAACAGAAATTTCACGAGAGTTAACATAGCTATAGGAAGGTAGATAGCATGCATAATGCTATTGAAAAGCAGCAAAAGTATGTTATAATTTACAAGCTGCATGGCTAGCTTAATATTTTTCCTACGAAATGGCCGTATAGATCTGATAAAAAACATTATATTGCAGAAGAACTTAAGTATTAGGACTTTTTGACTTAGAGGCGCTGTCTCTAAAAGTAATAATGAAAAACAGGACAAAAATCACAAATAATGGAGAAAAAGTAAACTGGTTACAAATAAAATGCTTGAAATATTTAAAATATACCTAAGCTATATATCGAGGACAATGATGTTCGAAGTGGCCTGGAAGATGACTTATTTTGTACAGTCAAAACCAGATAAGTGCCACAAAAAAAATTTTTCCTATATTTTTTTTTTATTATTTTCACTTCATTTCAACATTTTTTTTTTGTTTGTAATGATGGTTATTTTAATACTTTTCAGTAATTAAATCATTTTTAAATTGGAACATGATTGTATAATCAAACTTAATAAATAACTAAACAATTTATCGTATCAATTGTAGTGTTACTAGATATGTATAGTGTATTAAGAAAATTATACAAGTTAAAAGGGTTGTTCTCACATGAATGAAGTATTTCATACAACGTGTAAAAAACAAACCCATTGCTTTATGGGTAGTAAATTAGTGTACAAAAAGCAGTATATGGTGTATCGATCCTTATCACATGATGATGAACATAGTAAGGAGTACAGTAACTTGATTTTACCGAAAAAGAATACATAAATGTTATCTTAATACAGTTTAGATAAACAAATTCATGACAACCATGTCTTATGTTAAAACATCTTATTGTTATCTACGTCCAATCAATATCTAAACCAAAGTGAAAAAATATCTCAAAAAGACTACCAACTACGCTGTCAAAGTTGTGTAAAAACAAACAATTGACTATAGAGGTCAGAATGTTCGTAACCGGTCAACGTATTATTCTGAAACTATTTTTGATGTGAATAAATAATGGGAAATAAAAGGTTAATTGAAAATAAGTTTATTTTGAAGTTTTGATTTCCACTTCCGGAAATAATTTTCAAAATACAAATTAAACAAATTATAATAATATTGAGAGATTTAAATTTGTATTTTGAGAGCGATTTCCGAAGTGGAAAGAAACGTCAAAATAAACTTCGTTTTGTATTTGAATTATATTGGCAAGTCGACCGATTTGCTGGTGGATGTGTGGTACATTTATATCTCAACAACGTTCTGGATGAACTTTCTGCATACCGTATTGGCCCGTATGTTGCGATCGTTAGTCGTAACAGTTAATGCTGCAAAGGACACAAACGATGTTAACTTGCGAATAAATCCTTGTTCTATGTTCCCCTGGATAGTATAGCTAATAATCTTTCTGATAAACACGTTTTCACTTTGGTTTGGGTACCCACCCATTATCATCAGTGGCATTACTGCCCATTATGAACCAATGCCTTCTTTACAACCATTCTTTATCAATTCCTGTCTCCGACAATTCTTCCATATCTACCATTTAACTTCATTAGACTGTATGAGATCTTCTAAGTTATAAAGAGACCTTAAGTTTTGGACCTTCTCTGGTCGTCTTCGGTGGAAAACTTTTATGATTGTCGTGTCTTTCTTTCACCAGATTACGTGCCCTATTCATCTGAGGCACGCCACCTTAATAAATTTCACATCAGACTTTCCAAAACTTCTTTACAACTCAGTAGTTGTAATATCTGCGGGACAATGTTTGTTCTTTTAGTCCCCCTTATATTCTTCTTAGAATTTTTTGCAGCGAAACGTTTAAGCAGTTCTTGGTCATTCTTTGTCCACGTTTCTGATTCATATATTAACACTGGCCTTATCAATGGTTTATAGGTTGTCAGTTTAATTTTTCTTGGCAATTTTGAGACCATTTGATTTCGCCACCATACTAGTATGTATACTTATTGGTAAGAGTTATTCTTCATTTAATTTCTTAGCTGACGTTGGTATCTTCTTAAATACGATCGTCAGTAATATTCCTTTAATTCCATATGGTCAGTCGATAGTTTAGGTATCGGATTACTTTACTTAGGAACACACATACGTTCGTTTTTTTGAGTACTTATTTTTAATCTCGTTTTCAGATTAGATGCAGTTATGAACGAAATTTAGTCGAAAGATAGTCGTCTTCCTGATTTAATTATTTTTACAATGAAAGGCCGTGAAATTTCATGCTGGATTATATTGTGTATCTTTGAGTGTTAGTTCTGTTAGTGGAACAAGCTACTGCGGGGTTTGAAATTCCACCATAACCCTTTTCCGACTTAAGTCATAAGTTATAATTGCTATAAAAAGTGCTCCGTTTTTTTGTTAAGCACTGTATTGTACTTGTACGCACTTGTAAACTATATTTTTACCATAAGTATGACTTTCGAACTTGTGCATCTCATCTTGCGTTTTATTTGAAGTTAAAATATGTTCTATCCTGATAAAGATAACTGCTCAGCATTCTTACATTAACATGTTATACTATTACATTTGTTTCGGGATTAAATTGTAAAATGTTTTAAAATTAAACCAAACAATAGTTGTAATTAATTTTTATTAACGGTATTACTCGATTGTTTGTCACCTTTGTTAAAACACTCCTTTTCATTTATAGCTGGTGATGGTGATTTTATATATTTGTAAATATATTAATGCTAGTTGGTTGTAATTTGTACACTTCCCGCCTGTTTATTATTACCAAGTAAATTTTATACTGTTTTTATATATAGTTTATGTGTTCCGAAGAATTCATTGTTTTTATATGTTTCTTTTGGTTATTAAATTGTTAGGTTCAACAATTTTAGATTTATATAAAAAAATTCAGTCTGTTTTGATATGAATTGATTTAGTTAAAATTATTTTTTATTTCGTTATTGAGTTTGTTTTAATAAAAATATAGTCAGATTAGAATGTTATTAAATTTTATGCATTATTTGAAATGAAGATAATAAGATAAATATTCATATACTTAAAATATTACAATTTTTGCTTGCGTTCATTTTGCTTTTAATTCAGCTTTACATTTTCAGCAGTATATCAGATGTTCATTCAAAACAAAAAATTTTGTTACAATTTTTTCATGTATTGTTATAATATACAGAATTATAGAAATGTAATATTGAGTTGTGTAATAGTTAGAAACGGATCCAAAAAAGTAGTAAGAGACATCAACAGAACTCAGTCAGCTGTAATGAATTTGGCAAAGCGAGGTTAGGTTTGCTAAAGATAACAAGGAAAAAACAACAAAAAGTAACATAACGTGTACTGGTCAGAGACAAAAAAATAAAAAACAATACAAAGAAAATAAAAAATATATACTAACACCAGCAACATGGAATGTTAAGTCGTTATTGAGAATTGGAATGGTGTTAGAGATATCAAGGGAGCTAAAAAATATAATAATAAGACTTGACATCGTAACAATACAAGAAATAGTATAGACCAACTGAAGCAGCCGACTCATCATAAAAAAATGAATTCTACCAAATCCTTAAGTAAGGAATGTGATGAAATACCATAGGGGAGGGGGGTGGAGGGGGACCATACCTTTCTTATCGCCTACGCACGGAGCGACGGTTTTTTATTTAGTTTATTGCATTTTATGCGATTCCGAAGGTGAGCAAGAACATTATCACAAATCAGCTTTGAGTAATATCAAATGCAGATGATCTGGTCATATAGTAGCAAATAGAAATATGACGCAACACAAGATTGAAAAATTTGATAAAGACGCAAATAGAAGAGGGCTAGAGATAAACCAACATCGCACAAAATACAAGAATATTGGGTGAGACAACACAGCAACACAGAAATGTCTAATTACACAGAACTATAAATTCGAAGAAGTATTCACCTTCAGCTACCAGGGTTTGACAATAGGAAAAATATGTAAAGAGAAACCAGACGACAAAAATTTTGAAAGGCAAAGAAAGCGTTTGGAATGAATAAAAGTCGGCTATGAAGCAAGACTCTATGTAAGGAAAAAAATCTATATAAGACCTGTTGTTACAAATATGGAATGGAAACAGCAACGCTTGACAAAAAAGAGGAAGACAGTCTTCTGAAATTAAGAAAGAAAAATTATAGGCCCTAAGGTAACAAGGGGAGGAAAAAGAAGAGTTTCGAAATTGAAGAAGAATTAAAGGTGGGATGCATAGCCAGGAACATAAAGTCGCTCCGCTTAGATTGAATTGGGCACATACTGAGATGACCACACAGATATTCTGAGAAGGATAACTAACTGGACATCACTATGGCCCAGATGCAGAGGAAGACCTAGAAGATGGATGGAAGGCGTAAAAGAAGATATAAGTGCAATGTGAACATCAAGGATTCGAAAGTTCAAGGAAGAAATGGAAAAGAATCACAGCAGTAAAAACAAAGCAAGTTATAGATGAAAAATCCTGCATATAAGGCGAATAAACTCCAGGAATTGAAAGGGTTTGATCATGATAAATCGTAAGAACAATAAACGAAAAATATTTTTAATAGTCTCTAAAAAAGCCATATTTCAAAGCGCTTCCAGTGTATTCTGCTGATTTTCAATGTTGTATAACTATTGGCCAATTTTATTTTATTTAAAGTCATTTCTGCTATACTTTTATGTACTTCTGGATTAAGTTCTGGAGTATACAAATACCAAAATCTGTTTACGTATTTTAATGGTTGTTTGTAAATGGTGTAAATGTAATGGTGCATATTTCGTTTTATGATATCAGACAACACACTTTTGAATGCGTCGGGGCTCGCTTTTGATTAGGTGGTCAATATCCTCATTTGATATCTCGTTCCATGCCCTAATTAACGCCTCCCGAATTGCTCCCAAAATTTGAGGATGCTCTAACTTAGAATTCTCCGACCCATCATGTCTCCACACGTGTTTAATTGGGGATAAATCTGGGGATCTAGGAGGCCAGTGCAAAATATTGACTCCAGCATTATCAGAGAAGCGCATGGTGACTACCCCATTGTGTGGGGTATCTTTCGTTATCCTGCTGAAAAATTGGATTTTCAAGTGTCTGATAAGGTTCCAGAATTACTTCTACGTATCGCTGAGGAAGATTATTAGAAGTGAGCTTGAATGATACGCGATGACACCCCACACTATAATCCCAACAGTGCGGTGCACGTGGGTTCGACAAAAAACTGCATTTCTTCTTTCACCACGTCGTTTTCTGACCCTGGGTCGTTCATCATTCATCCCTAAAGACAATCAAGATTTTTCACTAAAAACAACGCAATTTCATTCCTGGCCCCAAGCCAGATTTCACACGTATATAACAATCGTTTCATATCATGGTCTTCAATGATCTGTGAATTGTTCCGCATTCATAGTGAAACCTATCAATATTCTAAACAATGTTGTTCTGAAGCTATTATCTTGTAGTATCTTAATAATATTAATATTTTTATTGGAAATTAACGACAACTTCAGTTTAAAATACGTTTATTTCTTACAGTTCTCAAAATACAACTATGTGAAATCAATTTCCGAAGTGGAAATCGAAACGACAAAATAAACGTATTTTAAACTAGAATAGTGGTTAATTCCCATTAAAGATCAATAATATTGAAAGAAATGTCTCTAGCTTTCTCGAAATCATATACTGTGGATGGCTCTAATTAGTTGTTATGGGTATCCGTTTCATAATTTAAAATCCTTTGGATATATACACGCTTTCAAAGGCTTCTTCAACATCTATTAATGCAATATTTGTTTATGGATTAAATTATCTTCATTTTTCGAGAATTTTTTTTATAATGAACACGCTGTCGTTACTAGACCTTTCTTTTCGAAAAACATGATATTTTTGTCCTTTACTGGGTTTTGTAATATTTTTTAATCTATTAATAATATTGGACTATATTTTCTAGATTGCATTCAAAAGAGCGATATTCCTATAGCTTTCGCAATTGTTAGTGTCAGCTTTCTAAGTGCAGCAAGATAACTTCATATCTTAGAGGTTACATGTTGATTTAACCCTCTTTGATCCTACTCCTGTTACTTTTACATTATTTAATGTTGTTGTAGCCTCCATAAGTTTTTGCGGTGTTATGGTCGTTTTTTATATGAATGTGTGGTGTCAAGTTTTTTGTAAGTCTACCATCTGCTTGTCACTGTCTACTTTTTTAAATATTCTACACAATTTCTATAATTATTCCTCAGATTCTCGTAGTGTTGTATCCACTTTTGTTCGTTAATAACTTATTAATGGACGGTATCTTTGTCTCTTCCATTCATGTTTTTTATCATTTTGTGGGCAAACATTTGTCTTCCGTGTAAATCGTTTTCAATTTGGCCAATAAACTTTTTCCTTGATTGTTGATATATATGCATTGTATTTACACGTTTTGCTTCGATTTCGAGTTTCTCTGTATATTTCCTTGTCTTTAAAATCCTTTTGTTTCTCTATTTAAATACTTGTTAAGAGGAACTGTTACATTGAAACACATATTAAGCAAATCCTTTTGTTTCTCTATTTACTTGTTAAGAGGAACTTATCTCATCTAACTTTACATTTTCGAAACTGCGAAGTAAAATTACTCGATAGTTTCATAAACAAAATATATTTTTTGTCTTTTTAACAGCTTGGGATCCTGGACTTAACATAACTGCCTATTTGTTTTTCGGTATACTTATTACCCCTTAATAAGAGCTTTTAACAAAATTTCTTTTAATGAATAAACCTAAATTTAAATCGTTTACTAATATTATGTAAGTCGCCAAAGTATCTTGCCCACTATTCTTGCTTTTCATTAGAAAAGGTTAAAAATATTCCTTGTTTTTACAGGGTTGATACAGATAGAGTCAGTGCAGATATTAAAAGGCTTAACAAGCAATTTCAAATACACTGACATGATACCTCCATAGAAGTCTGTCGATTCAAAATTTTGAATTTTGTTGATATTTTGTAGAAATTATATGTAAAATCTATTAAAGCGTGGAACGTGGAAGAGATTATTTATTTTGCTTTAACAACAACATGAAATGATCAATATTGCTTGTCAATAAAAGTATTGTGTTGCGAACACACAAGTAACGCATGTTAAGTGGAGTTATCACTAATACAAACAAACAATGACGGATTGGAAGAATTCACCGTACAAAAGTTTTATACTTTAATCACTGTAAAAGTATATTATTACAATGGATTTTACACCGAAAAAACCGCTTAAGTTATTGTTTTAATGGAAAATGGGATCGGAGAGCGAAACGTTGCTGGATTTGCTGTGACACATGGAGCATTATAGCGACATGTTGCTGGATTTGCTGTGACATATGAAGCAGTTCTGCTTCATATGTCACAGCATGTGTGTCTAGACCACATCCGTGTTAAAATCGATTCTATCATGTTCAACCTGGAACATTCAGAAATCGGTATTTAACCGAATGTAATAACCTCTTTATTGTATCAAGGTTACTGAGGCTAGACCGTCTACGCTTGAATTATATAAATGGATTTGGATGGAATATATGGATGGATATTTAATCCGTCATTGTTGTTTACCACAAGAAATGTCTAAATATATGAAAACTATATTTACGAAGTCGAGTAACTTCCGCTAGATTGTTATGTGCAAAATTTTTGTGTACTCCTCGTATGAGCGGGTGTCCTCTGAAGTTAATGAGAAAAAGAAAATAGTAAATGAAGAAATGGCTTACGAAATGCAATTACGAAACTTTAGAACTGCAAATGAAAGGAGGTCGTTTAAAATATTGAATTGTTTAATACATTTAAAATTTTTATTTAACACTTAAATAATAAATATTTATCTAGCAGTAGTAATATCTAATTTTTTATATTTTTCTCAGGGTCCAGTACTGATCAAGATAGTCTAGCTTACCGTTATGGTGATACTGATTCAGGTTTAGGCCGTGCTACGCCACCGAGGAGAGCGCCATCTCCTGGAATTAGTATGAGACATCTTCCATCTCCTTCTGGCCCAGGAAGTTTACCGGGTTTTATGACGAAAGGTCGAAGAATGTTTGATGACGGATCTAGTGATATTAGCTCGACACCTAGCAGTATGATGGATTATAATGGTATGTATTTTAATTATTTTTTTTACACAATGAACTAGGTGTTTTAATACCTGGGATGTTTATCCAGACGTCCAGATTAGAGACGCCTAGAATATTATGTTGAAAGATAGTTTATGTTAACAAATTCTTTATGATTTTTTCTAGGTCCCAGATTGTACAAGCAACCAGCTACGAAATCAAATCGAAGTATTATGTTAAATGCCGTAGAATATTGCGTATTTCCTGGTGCAGTGAACAGAGAGGCCAAGAAGAGAGTGTTAGAAGAAATTAATAGATCTGAGAGTAAACATTTTCTAATTTTGTTTCCGAGACGCAGGTTGTCAATTTAGAGCTCTCTATTCATTTTGTCCTGAGAGGGAGGAAATTACTAAGTTATATGGAACGGGGCCAAAACAGGTTAACGATAAAATGTTCGACAAATTTTTCAAGTAAGTTATATATTTTTTGACAGAATCATACAGATTTATGTTTAAAAAAATATTCATACGGTATATTTAAACGTCTGCAAAAAATAGATAAAAAAAATTTAACAATTTCAATTTCACAAAACGGTGAATAAATATTTTTATATTAGTCTGAACTGTTACCTTATGGTATCTCATGTTTTTATCACTTGATGACATTTTTAAAACATTTACTGATTGGAGTCATTACCCGGATCTATTCTGTGATAGAATCAAGTAGACCGAAGCTTTCTCGGGTTAATATGAAGAGGCTAATTTTGTATTGAAAACCGAAAAAACGGAATAGAGAAATATCACCAACCATATGAATTAACACATGGAAAAAATACTAGATATAAACTTTACGAATGCAGTATAAGTAACACAAAATGCATCTGCAAAGATGTACAGAATATAAAAATAATTGGCACGCATGAAACCATGAAATTATAACTGCACATTTAGCGTGGTCTTCCAGGAATGTGATTTCAGGGGAATGTCTCATGTGCTTTATAGTCCAGGATATGACGGTAAAAATAGTAGAAAATCTCAGGTTTTTTCAAATTTGCAGATTTTTTGAAATTTTGACAGTAGTTAGAAAATAGCTTAAATGTCAAAATTTACCCTATGGCAATCTGCGCTTTTCCTCTGTGGAAAAAATTCATTAAAAAAAAAGTATGGTAGTCGCTAGAATATCGAATTTTAAATAAAAATGTTGGACGAGAGTTGGAAATCTTTGGATTCAAGCCTTACTGCAAAGGACTTGTGAATGGATGCATCTCCATAGGTTTGGTTCTTCAGTGACCGTTGAAGGATAAGGATTCTTAATGTAAGCAAATATAGCTCCAGAGAAATAAAATCACTTTTGAGTTTATCGATTTATAATTAAATCTTTTAAGACTAGAGAGGGCCAACACGGCCGTAACTTACTATACAATATCAAATATACTCTTTCTTTTATAACACGTAAAAGAAAAACACCGGTATGAGAAAATGCCCGATTTCGGCGAAGAGAAATATTTAATACATGAATTGCGAGTTTTTAACTACTCGATGGGATGCCTCGATGGCCATGTGTCAACTTGAACTAATCTTACTGAACTGATAAAACACTACATAATGTGTGAACGGGAATATTACCCCTATTTTATTTAGGTGTGAATATTTAACAGGGTCAGACGCCACTCAGTCGGGTGTCGCGTTCAAATTTGATAAGGTGACTGTTCTAGTTATTCTACACTAAGAAAAGTCAAAGAATTACATTTTTATTTTATATTTTAAAACAATATGTTCATTTCTGGAACAATGTTCTTTAGAGTTTTTTCGAACGAAAAGTCAATATTTTAAGGCCCGGCGCAAATTGATCACAGCCCACGCACATCCCACGCGTGGGTTATTTTGTAAAACGTGGTTTTAGACGGAGCGACGCATATTAAACCCAAACCACGGCCAGGCTACTGCCAGACTTGGTTGGCGTGGATAGAGTTGTGCTAGCAACACAGTTTCGTGGGTCGTGGGTCTCTACCTAACCTTAGTTATTTTGTTTTGTGTGACCAATTTTTTGTTATTCAGTGAAAATGGAAAAGTTTATTGAAATTGTTCGAAGCTTTAGTGTCTTGTATGATACTAGTAATGAAGATTACATGAGAACAAAACTAATATTTTCTTTATTTGTGCTAAGCGACTCGGATGTAAGTCGCCGTTATAATTATTAAAAAAAAATAATTTAAATTATTTTTTTATTAAATCAAATGAGAAATATAACAAATCGAGAAGGAAAAAAACAAATTTTCATTTCCTAGCTAAATGTTTATGAAGATGAAAACTTCAAAATAAAATTTGATGGTACTTTTTCGTGATGCTCATTTTGTAATGGCTTCTATACACTGAAATTAAATTAAAAAAGAACATGAAGAAAGTAGAAAAATAATAGTTTTTTGTTGAAGGATTTCAATTTTTTACTCTTAGCATTTGTGAAAGTTTTCAAGATATTTATATTTTCAGATTAGAAATTGTTAGTGGGATATTAGGTAAAAATTAAAAGGTCTTTAGAAAATAAAATCTTTATTTAAACTAATATACTGAAGACGGTCTATCTTTTCGTTGAATGATATTTGCGAAAACAATCTCCTATGCATAGTCCAGCTTTTTCGGCACAATCAGCACACTCGTAAATTGTGTTTTTCCTAATTTTATGGATAGAACATATTATACACAAATATTTGACATGGGCGTTTAGGGTGTCCCGTCTTTGCATAAAAAAATTTCTTTTTGAGCTACACTATCGCAAGACGTATCCAAATTTGCGTAATTTTCCAGAGATTATAAAAAAAGTAAAATAAATACGATAGCACGTCACCTTCAGGGCTCTACTAGACTTTAAAGTTTTGTAAATTTTACGTTTGTACAGACCTAAATCATATACTTCAAATAATACACAAATTAAATTTAAAAGATATTTTATTATTAAAATTAATGAAAAAGGTTCAAAACAACTTAACAAACAAAATAGATCCTATATTTGATGACAAAAACTTAAAATTTGAACTTATTTTTGTGTCCAAAATTTGGCATTTCTGCCCGAGACTGCAACCTGGTTCTGATAAAGCTATCTCTAGAAGTAGCATCAGTTACGTTCTGCGAGGCTTCTGTAATCAGTTTAACACATCTTTCCACAGATTGTGTGTGGCAGGGAAAGTCAAAAATATCCAAGCTTTTATCTTTTACCATGATGTGAAGGTCCTCAGTAGAAATATGCCGAAGAACCGGCGGTGTTGTAACCTGACATTCGTGCCACATAATAATATCGGTGTAATCTTTAGCAGAGAAGTTAATTTTTGGTGTTTTAAATATTCTGCGTTTATCGTTACTTTCAGTGTCTCTAGCTTTTTTTATTCTTCGCCATGCCAGCTCCCTAATGTGATCTCTATCATCAAACAACATACTCACAAGTAAGTTTTCTGGGTGGGCAAAAAAGGCATTTCTTTCGATAACGGTATCCACAACAGATCTTAGATTTTCGGGTAGAAATCGAGAGTACATAATTAGTTGAAAAATATGCTTTGCTCCATCCTTAAAAGACGATTTTTGCTTAATACTGAACCACATCGGAGCATATACTTTAACAACATAGTTTACAAGCAATTGTAAATTTTCTGATGGATTAAGCGTACTTACATAAAGTCTGAGTAGACGATTAGCAGTAGTAAGCCATCTGGAGTGCGCCATTTTTCCAGGTTGACGGTTTGCCAATTCAGGAGTACAGAAACCGGTTAATACTGCTTGACATATTTCATATAGATATTTTTGATCTGTACTTAATTCATTGACTACATTTTTTGGCAAGTCAGGCAAATTACCATTCATACCAGAAAAAGTCACGGTGGGGCTGTTTTCATAAGCAACTAACTGTTTTCCAATAGGTCCGGAGTATTCTCTAGGACCCGAAGTAGAACCATCTATGGTCAGGAACAAGTGACGAAACGGTAACTCATTGGCATGAAGCAAACAAACGCACCATTGTAACGGTCTCTCCAAATACTCCTCTAAATATTGAATCACGCCACCCTTCCAGCCAGTATTAGTTGCAGTTCCATCACATCCAACGCAAATTACAGCATCTAAATTCAAACTTTGACCCTCAAAAAAAGTTGTGATCGAAGTAAAAATTCCATTTGCAGTGCCACGACTAGGCGTTGTATGTCCCAAAAAAATTGATCCGGGTTCTGATAACAATGAGATGTGTTCTTCCAAAATCTCTTTGCGATGGTAACGATTCCCTATTTTCTCATTTATCAGGGTCTTGTCCTTTCGTCCATCAAAGTAAATGCTATTTACAACAATACCTGCAACATCTTTTGAAGCATCTCTTCGGGCTTTACATACAGCTCTGTGGATTTTGTTTTTATCAATAACCAGTGTCAGATCTTCGGTAGAAACCAAACCCACATCAACCAAAACGGCAGAAGCAACAGCAGCAACAGATCGCATCGATAAACCGTATCTATCACTGACTTTAGCAACTGTTGGCAACGGCAACGTATTTCTATTAAACGTGGAAGTCAACGGTGTCTCTGTTGAGAAAGAGTGAGGCACTGCTTCTTCATCACAATTTTCTGATATAGAATCGGTCGTTTGAGTAACACACAACTTTTTTGTTGCCCTCATTGATTCTTCCATTTTTCTCTGCTGTCGTTTTATGAACCTGGCAGTTTCTTTCTTATCAACACCGCCTATAACCATTTTCCTGTCATTTCTTTGATCCAACAGAAAGTCTCTATCATTGATGGGAACTTTTTTATGTTTTAAACAGGAACAAGATTGAATAGAAATACATTTACAAGCAGCAACGTCGAAAAGATTTTCAGCTGACTCTACAAAATACTTCACTTTGTTTTCAAAACTGTTATTTCGTTTGATTTTGGGGTGTCGTTTCAAACTGAGGTACTTTTCGAAATAATATTTTAGTAACTGAATAATCCGTTCCTTAGTTACGATTGGAATCGAAGCTTTTGTCCAAATATTAATAACTTCTTCAGAAACAATGGCATATATTTCTGAATTGGATGGATCCTTTCCATTATACTTTAATTTTAGATCGTTCTTCACAAATAAAATATATTTCATAACATCTCTTATAGTTGGTAGCTGTCGATCGTCAAGTTCTTTGTAAGGTCCCATAATAGAACAAGTAGTCTCACTACGCCTAGAACTCATGATTTAAAACTCACAAAATCAGCTTTTGACACTAGAACAAACGCAACTGTAATGATGTTGAACGTCGAACGACGTGTCGACCACACCCCGAGCCACCTTCTCCTTCTACTTGTCTTTCTCCTACCATCAAAGCAGATCTGACGTAATCAAAGTTCACAGAATTCTCTAACTAAACTTTAACGTAACGTATAATACGACGCAGTATTATACATTATATACAATAGTACAGTACAATCTCAATTTATTTTAGTTCAGGAGCCGAAAAAATATTATCACAAAAATGACAATTTTTCCAAATTTTGAATATCTGTAGAACCCTTAAGATATATTTTTATTTTATTTTTAAAAATACTGTGATAATCTATTGGCAATTACATAAATTTTAAGAGGTCTTGCATTAAATAATGTTTTATATTTAGTTCAGGATGCGAAATTAAGTATAGTGAAATATTACCATAAAAATGACAATTTTTCAAAACTTTAAAGTTTGGTAGAACCCTAAAGATATATTGTTATAATTTTTTTAAAATTATTGTGATAATTTACGAGCAATTACCCCAATTTCAAGAGGTCTTGTATTAAACAAAAACAAAAAGCGATTTTTCGGGACACCCTAATGGGCGTGGGCTGTGTTCAATTTGCGCTGGGCCTTAGTGACTAAAAATTCACAAATTACACGTCAAAAGCATGTTTTTAAATGGATTTTCACGAATAATTAACAAAATTTAGATTTTATTGGGAAAACTGTTTGGATATAAAATAAAACTTATAAAACAAAGAGATTCGTTTTTTATTATATTTTATATAAACGGCCTAACAGCCCGAACAAACAGTTTAACAAGTTATGGCTGTTCGAAAGTAGACTTTTATTCGTCGAATACAAAAATTCAAACATATGATGTTGAATAACCAGATAACGGTAAGTTTTTCATGGAACATTTCATAAAAACATTTTTGTTTTAAAATGCAAAATTCTAGCGAATACCATATTTTTTTCATAAACTTTTTCCACCCCCCAAGTTGGGGTGGTAAACACCCCTAGAGGAAAAGCACATATTGCCATAGGGTAGATTTTGATCTCTTTGAGCTAGTTTCTACTGTCAAAATTTCAAGCAAATCTATGCATGTAAAGGATTCTGAGCAGAAAACCGTCATATCCTGGAATATTAACACGTTGTAAATTGCCGGCGCTGATTTAACCATCCCCTTAAATCCCATATTCCGACGGCTTGAATACCATTTACATATAATTGTTCCACTATAGAACTATATCCCCTTATAGACGTCTTTTGCTAACTGCTGCATTGTCATTCTAATTATTGTGTGGTGATCAAATAACAAGCCGAAAAATTCATATACTTTCTAGATATATTATACTTTCCTACTATTCCCTACCCAACCTAAAATAATATATCTTAACTCAAATAAAATTTATTTTCATTGCAGGTATAACTCAGGCGGTAAATGTTTCTCGCAAGTTCACACCAAACACCTGACCGTAACAATAGATGCTTTTACAATCCACAATTCTTTGTGGCAAGGCAAAAAAGTAAACCTTCCAAATAAAAAAGACATGGCTTTAGTTATTTAAGTGAAAACTCTAAAACTTTGTTAACTAATCATCTAATTTATTAATTACTAGGTTTGTTAACGTTTTCTGAAAACGTTGTTTTATTTTTTTGTAAGCAATGTCGAACAAATCATGCAGGTATGTTTAAAATATACTGAGTAATTCGAAAATCAAGAGTATTGAGCGACATTAGTGCCTACATTATTAATAGATTTTTATGTTTATTAAATTTGTACCATACACTCTTTATTAATGATTGTATTCGTTTAAAACATAGTTTATTCTCTTTATAATTATACAGACATTTTTTATTAAGATCGAGGTTTTTCTCTTAATTCCACAAGTTATGTTTTTATAAGATATTATGTTAAATTAATTTACTAGCTAAATGATTATAGATAATTATTTTGGTTATTATAAATTCCTCAAATGACGAAAATTACCAATCTAAAATAAACGTTTTAAACTCTGAAATTTCACATTTAATATATTTGTTTTTATAAATGGAGTTACAGTCATAAATGGAGTTGAAGTTACTCTAGTATTAGCCAAACTGTGTTTGGTAATACCTCAAATTGTTTATGCAAAGTAAGGTTTTGTTCAAAATATTTCTTTAGAAAAATCTGTCATCCACATCTCGTTTAACTGCTATACTAATTGTTCCAAGTTTACAACCAATAGACGCTTCATATCGACGGTCTGGTTCCAAAGTTGATAACTACAAAATTGGTAGTTGCTAACTACAATACTGTTGTTTTTGAAAGCATGAAATTTAATGTTCAACCCAGTCCATCAAACCAGATTTTTCAAATAAAAAAAATGTTTCTTCACAAACAGTAGGTAATAATACTGGTGGACAGTTAGAAGCAGTAACTAAATACTGTCTTAGCAGTTACAACTAGAAGTAACTTTTTCATTTCGAATACTCTTTATCTTACGTCAGTTAATCACAGTTTGCCCTTCAGCTTTGTTAGATTAAGCATTATAATTTTTCCAATAAGTTTCCAATCAATAAACATAATTTTGGGTGTTGTAAAAACTTCGTATTTTGCTATAGGTTACCGATTTTTGCGACAAGTATACAGGATGTATTTGCCACAATCTTAATTCTGTCATATATTCAGCGACATTCAGTTTGACTTGAGAGATAAGAAATTTTAAGTAAAAGACTTAAATTAATAGGGCTGAACAGCATAAAGAAACATGGCGTCAAAAAATTGTTTTGTGTTTTCACCATCCCATGCGTCAGTAAATAGTCTTTTATGTGTTTTGTAGAAGACCTTAATCTGGTGAAACCAACACCGTAATATGAAAGTATTTTATAACATAAAACCGTCTGTAGGTCCAATACTACAGTCGTTTGACATAACAACGTTTTTATCGGGGTTTTTTTACCTCTTGCTCTATTATTTAATTGTATGTGTTGACCATAGTTCTGCTCCAAGGTCGGCTTGTCTGCAATATCCGCTCATATGATGTCACATCCTGATCTTTCTTTGATATATGAAAGGATAAATTAAAATGATTATTCCTTGTCGGAGCCTAATTATTTTACTATAAATCTTTTAATGAAGGATATAATTTCAAAACTATTCTTTAAAATAAAATATTCAATAAATATTCAATTTTGAATATATATACAATCATTTTTAGTATTTTCGACAATAACAAGAGATGTCATCGTGAGAAACTTTTTGATGTGGCTTCTAAAAATCTTTGTAATTCGTTTAATATTGTTGATGAAAAATATCTTATATTTTCCTCATGTTCTAATGCTTAGAGAATTTAAGATTTTGGTTCTGCATGCATTTGTACGAAAATTTTCAATAACGAAATAAAGGTCCTTGATCGTCTTGAATTTTTCGCCATTACGATTATTCTTTTGCATTTTTCGATTTTTATTAAACGGTGTATGAGATGGCCTGTTCCCAGTTTGATGTAAGATATGAAAATATGCAGTCGATATTTCTGATCTATTTGTGAATTACCTTTGATGTAAAATAGCACTTCCAAAGGAGGCTATGTATTGTTAGTTACAAATGGCAACTATATATTAAGTATAGATACGTGCTATATGTAACTAACAGTATGCTCTTGCGCATATCATATATGATGGGCATAAAATATCATAGCTATCAATGCTAAATATAGAAAGAATTTTGTTTTGTAGATTCTTTTGAGTTGCAATAAAATGTGGTAGTAAAAACACCGGGATTAAAATTAATACAATTAGAAACTTTAGTTCTGAAATTGAATTTTCATATCTCATGAACTCATTATCCTGGCTTCTTTTTTTATCGAAATGTCATATCAGCTAATATATTTCTGTAACTAGTAGATAAGTAACATATTTTTGTAGCAAGTTTTTACAACTTTATTATTGTCACTTCTCGCACCCACGTGTTACCGTTTCTTGTCGGTCTAGTGTCCTTAGTGGGCTCTACTTTCCATTTCCATTGTGAATGTTTGAGGTCAATGTTTTTGTTGGATTTCCTTGTTTTTTCTTTGTGCTGGTTATAGAATTCTAAACTTTTATTAATAATATTCTTTCTTTCTTCATTCTTCGTAGCTACTCGTAGCATTTTCTAGCTATATTATCCATTATCCTGTTTTGGTGAAATTCAGCTTTTATTTTTTTATATACTTCTTTAGTTCTTGACTGGGTTAAGGAATGAACCTCTTGGTAGCATTTCCAAATATCGAGGCGCTTCGGCAATATTAAAATTATTTAAGGGTACATCCATCCATCCTATAGCTCTACAGCCCAATTCAAGCCCCGGGCCCTCTCAGCAAAACTCTCAGTTCTGGCGTCATCATCCACATCATCCTCTCATCATCGCTTTCTCGGTCTTACAATAGTTATCTTCCCCTACATTCTTGCATTCAACAGTTTTTTGTAAGCCTATTTTTTCCAATCGTAAATACATGGTCTGTCCATTAAAGACGTTGTAGGCGGACATAAAGTCACTGAGATAAAGATGGTTGTTTATATATTATATATTTCATAATTATGTCTGATTCGCCACCTGTTCTTATTTATAGAGCCTAGAATTTGTCTACGTACCTTTCTTTAAAATATGTCTATGCGGTTTACATATTTTTGTGTCAACACCCAAGTTTCACATCCATAGCTTACTATCGGTCGGATTATGGTCTTTTAAATTCGAATTTAAAAAAAAATCGTCTGGCTAAGTGGTCTTTACCAAATCCATCTAATTAAATAAAAAAAATTCTTATTTATTTTACTTTACTCAGCATATTTTAAATTTATCTTATCTGCTCTTACTCAAGCATGTATCCAGTGTCTTGACAAATCTTCGTTTTCTAGAAATCTGAAGTACTTTACAGCAGTACCTTTAGTCGTTATGTTTGTACTTTTACAAGTAGCCACAGTAAGAAATTCTTCAAACAATCCTGAATTTCAAATTATTCCTATGGTTAAATTATAGCGCATAAAGGAACCCTATATTCAAACGGTCTAACCATTTTTAGTTTCCGAGTGACGTAAAAGCACGTCTCGGTACGAACTTAAGAATAATCGGCATACCGTTATTTTTGTACACCGGATATAGATACCGATGTTTCTTTACAATATGACGCTAATTTAAAAGTTATCACAGTTGACCACATTTGGAACTCCATTTTAGATTATTTTGCGATTTACTGTATAATTGCGATAGCTCAAAAAGAAAAAAAAATGTATTGGCCCCTTCTGGAACCAGGTCATCGATATGAATGGAAGTTGTTTCTAAATTATAAAGTATGCTACCAAAATTCGCTATACGTCTTGTAAATTAGTTCCACCTTTAAGAAATTTTTAATAATAGTCAATCAAGTATTATTATATGAGTATGTGGGCTTGCAGGGTCCGTCAGTCAATTATTTACCATACCCAGATATGATCGTGAACTTTTCAAGGTCGTCCTCCCGTTCTTTTCTCGGGCGGAATCTATTTTAATATTTTTCGGGATCATCTGTCTTTTGGTATTTGTTTACGTGTCCGAACCATGTCAACTGTCTTTTCAATATCCTCACCTATATTACGATCTGCTTCATTTCATCTCGTATTTGCTCGTTTATCCATCTCATCGTAAATAATCCATCTCAGTCGTTGTAGGTTTGTTTTTATTAGCATGGCTAATATCCCAAACCTCCGAACCGTATAGTGTAACGGTTTGTAAAATACTTGTATAGATATGTTTTTTTGTTTCTTTTTTCATTGACTTTCGTCAGAGAAAATAGTTACCTTTCCCTTATTTATTCTCGCTCTGATTTTATCTTCACTATTCCCTTATTTAAAATTATCCCCAAATAACTTGCAGGTCGAATATATTATTCTTTTAATTTGTTTATATCTAATTGTTCTGACACACAATAGTGAGAACTTCTTGAAATGAAATTAAAAATCATTAATATTTTTTTGTGCTTGTACCTAGTTCGTTCCTCCATCATGGGTTTAAAACATGTAAATGTAAATTTTTTAAGCACTTTGTTGTGTTTTTGTATTCGTTTACATGTTTCTGTTCTTCATTGATCGATTTCTTATTTGTTGTTCTCATCGTGCTGATTATGGGTATTGAAAGTTTACGTGTTTGTGTACTCGGCAGACAGGCAAAGAAAAAATCCATTATTTTATGATAAATCAAGAAATTAATAGGGACATAAAAATAAATTCAAATAAGGTTTAAGTAAAAAATTCAGAAAATCTTACACACTTTTGAATATTTTTTACCTCTCTAGACGAGGTATGATTATGATGTATTAATTACATGGTTTTACTGTTGCACAATGCTGTTCATTTTTGAAATATTTATAATCTATTATACATTTTTAAATTATGTTGTTTTGTATAAAGTATTATACCGATATTATAACGCCGTGAATATTTATTATAACACTTTTTACTTGGAAAGTCATTTTATTGTAATTTCCTTTTGTTTTGTATTATGTGCCTTTTGTATTTATAATTAGGTATTTTGTCGTATTGTTTACATAAAATATTTTTTGTATGTAAAGAGAAA